ACATATAAATGTACCGCCTGTATATAAAGTGATGGGTGCAAAGGTTATTAGGAACCACCCCTCCCTAGTGGTACATAGGTAATAAAATAAATTAAAGAAATAACTGTACAGCTTAAATAACAATCAAAATATGTATGCCTATTACTGTTAGCACAACTCTCTCACAACATTTGTTGAATGTACAAAAAAAATACAAGTTGCATGAAAATACTATTTCAAATATACAAAGAAGCAATTAATGAAAAATGACAGACAGAAAAAACACCCAACACCCAGTCTTTGTCAAGGAAAGGCTCTCCAGCCGAAATGTTGGGTGTTTTTTCTGTCTACTTGTCAGTTAATACTGTACAGCAATTTATCTATTCATGTTTCTTTGTATATTTGAAATAGTATTTTCATGCAACTTGTATTTTTTTTTTGTACATTCAACAAATATTGTGAGAGAGTTGTGGCAACAGTAATAGGCATATATATATTATTTTGATTGTTATTTAAGCTAAATAAAATCAGTGGAGTGAGACCAGGGATTGTATATTTGTCTGATCCATGATTGAGCTTTTTTGATAGTTTTTTATTTTTTTTAAAGTAATTTTTTTTTGGAGGGGGGGGGGGCGAATAGACACTGCACAAGTACAGAGATCTGTGTGTGTGTGTATATATATATTAGAGAGTTACTGTCTTCCTCACATTTAGTCATTTAATCAAACATGGATTTTGGACCAAGTGCCTATAAATTCTATAATCTGTTTTAATGTTTATGTTTTTACTTTGTGTTCTGTTTGTAATTTAGGACTGATATACCTGGAATCGCAGAGTTTAAAGGGACACTATAGGCACCAAAACAACCTGAGCTTAATGAAGCAGTTTTGGTGTATAGCTCATGCCCCTGCAGTCTCACTGCTCAATTATCTGTCATTTAGGAGTTAACCCACTTTGTTTATGCAGCCCTAGCCACACCTCCCTGTATGTGAGCTACACAGTCTCCCTACATGCTTCCTGTAAAGAGTAATCTAATGTTTAAACTTAATTTATTGCACATTCTGTTTAATTTAGAATGTATTATCTCCTGTTCTGTGAATAGTCTGGTAGATTCTGCATGGGCCTCCTGTGTGTGATTAAAGGACCACTATAGTGCCAGGAAAACATACTCGTTTTCCTGGCACTATAGTGCCCTGAGGGTGCCCCCACCCTCAGGGACCCCCTCCCGCCCGGCTCTGGAAAGGGGAAAGGGGTTAAAACTTACCTTTTTCCAGCGCTGGGCGGGGAGCTCTCTGCCTCCGATCCTCCTCCGTTCCTCTTCCTGGGCTGAATGCGCACGCGCGGCAAGAGCTGCGCGCGCATTCAGCCCGTCGCATAGGAAAGCATTTACAGTGCTTTCCTATGGACGCTTGCGTGCTCTCACTGTGAAAATCACAGTGAGAAGCACGCAAGCGCCTCTAGTGGCTGTCAATGAGACAGCCACTACAGGATTAGGGGGAAGGCTTAACCCATTCATAAACATAGCAGTTTCTCTGAAACTGCTATGTTTATAAAAAAAAATGGGTTAACCCTAGAAGGACCTGGCACCCAGACCACTTCATTAAGCTGACGTGGTCTGGGTGCCAAGAGTGGTCCTTTAAAGTTCAATCTACAGAGCAGGAGATAAATACTTCTAAAATAAGTTAACATCTGATTGAAAATGTTGTTTTCATGCCTATAGTGTTTGTTTAGCTGCCCATTTACCTGTCTTACCATATCCTTTTTGCAGCTGATTGTAGCAGTTGAGGAGAATCCTCTTTGCTGACTCTGAAAGTCCTACCCTTATTTTTGACGTTTACCCATGTGCATATGATCATTGTTGCATAGTTGGCATGTGAATCTGTCCTGGGATTAGAATTAAGCTTTCTTCACTTAAAAAAAAATGTTCAGAGCGCAAATTAAACAAAATGTGAAGCTAGTGACTGAACCAGAATTATGGTGAATTAACAAGGGCATTTTAAATCTTAGGCCAAAACAGCCAAATTAAAGAAAGTCTCCATTTTACCTATTGTTCCACCTCAGTCATTTTGTGATAAAATATATAAATCTTCTCAGACAGGAGCGTTTTTTGAGAATCGATGATCAATGTATTTCTATAAAATTAAGCCTCAACTTACAAAAACAGTGTAGAGAATGGTCTGTCCTGACGTTAGAGACACAACAGGTGCCAAAATCTGGAAATTCTTGGACAGATTGCGTACATTGAATTTCAGTTTGCTGACCTGTCTCGCTTGGTTAAACATGTATAGAGATGTTGATGACCTGCTTTTATTCATATTAAATATAACTGCATTATTAACTTTTAGAGTGTTATACTTTACAGAGTTTGCACTGGTGTGTAATGATTTAAAAAGTAATCTTTACTTCCAGTGAAATGGCAATTCATTGTTCCTTAATTGTTCCTTTATTGAGGTGAATAAGACACAGAGTTAAGTAAAAAAAGTCTTTTAAAAACGGACTTACCTCCACTACACTTTGTTGTTACGGTGTCTCCGCTGCCCCATGATTCCATGTGTGAATTGATTTGCATTCTGCGTCAGACTTTGCCTAGCAATGCATGTAAATAAAAAAATAAAAAAGATATAAGAATTTGTTGGCGCTATATAAATAATAACCTAATAATAGAGAAATAGTAAGGATTTATCTCTATAGACTTATAACAGGCTCTCGAACTCACACAAAAGTTTCCATAACATCATATCAGAGATACAGTGAGGGCAAGCTTTGTCTGCATTAGGATTTCCTGGACACGCCCCTTGCGCACATCTATATCTCTCTAGTTTAACTATCTCCCTAGTTTAACAAAGTATTGGATCCTTCTGTCTCACCAAACTGAAACAGCAAGACCTCCATTTAAATCAGACTTTTCAAATGAATCAAATCTGTTAGAAAAACAGATTCACCTACAGAAGTCACCATAACCTACGTTATGTCTGGAATTGGGATTAGTAGTGTACAAAGGTCAGCGCTGATAGCACTTTGCAGGTAGGGTCGTAACTACAATAGTGCTTCTGGTGCTGCAGAATCTGAAGGTCTTTACGATGATCAGATCAAGACAGGCTGAAAGCCTTCAATATGTAGTGTGGAGCAGAGAAATGACAGGAGAGACTTGAAAAGGGTGACCTTTTCTATGGTACGAGGGAAGCTAGAAAACGAAACATAGACTTAAAGGGAACTATGGGGTAAATTTCCCCCCAAGCACATTTTTAATGCATTATATAACCAGAATTCCCAGCAATCGCTGTTTAGTGGATCTACCTGCAGTCGCACCCTTGGTGCACCTGTGGAAGACCTCCAATGAGGAACACCTCATTTTAGTTCATGGGATCTACTCTTATCCCCAAATCCTCTGAGAGCAAAAATGCAAAGTTGTGGTTGTGTTTAGAATGAACATTTAAAGAGGAAAGAAATGTCTGAGCAGCTGGTGTGATAGGCAGCCACACAACGGCTGGAGGACCTGCGATAAAAGTAGTGCATGGTGGTTAAAGTTTTAACGAGCACGTTAATACATTTTAATTACCCCATCTCCAAATATACCTGTTCTTTAACCCCATCTGTTGCAATGCTGTGTATAGATCTGCTGCATTTTGCCATGACATGCCGTGTCAGCCTATTCACAACCCCAGGCAAAGTGTGGTACAAGGTTCTGTAGTAGGCACCTGAGCAACATGCCCACACTGCATGAACAATGACCTGTGCGTTATGTGTAAGTTGTTATGGTTCTTAAATCAATACTTTAAAAGTTACATCTCATTGTTGTACTAGATGAAGCCCTTTCACCTACAAAAGTGGTAACATAGGATTGTGTTGGCAAACTAGGGATTTTAGTGACTTTGCAAAGTCTTGTATCACCAACAAAAACATAAATTGGAGTCACGGTTGAGATGGCCAGATAAGCTGTTGTGGCCCAAGACACTCGAGATCATCCTCAGTTCTCCACTACAACCAGTTTAGATAATAAGCCCAAGAAAAAAAAGAAATTTAATTAATGCGGTACTTTATAGATGTCCCAAGATTCAATGATCTGGCATCCACGTAACATAAATGATGACATATAGTTATTTTTTTCTAATCTTATTTCTTTTTCATCAATAATTACTGTCTTTTGTAGTTTTTGAACTTTTTCGGTATTTTTTCAGGTTTTTTTTACTTTTTCTTTTTTCATACAGATGCTTTAATTTAAACATCAAAAACAGCATCCCAACAAAACATCTTTGAGCTTTCCGCTGACAACTTTAAATGTTTGAAAAATATTAGTTTTCATACTTCGATGCCTCAATACACACCGTTATAGTGATTCTAGTAGTTTTTTACTTATTTATTCTGCATATAGAATTTTAGTTTTTACTGGTGTTTTCACTTTTACGGTGAGATGGGAAACAAAACAACCATAATATTAAACATATGAAGAAATTAAATAATTGAAATGCCATAATTGAGACAATTCAGGTTTAATTCTGGTTTCTTTTTTACCATAAGTATGTTTAGTCTGCTTGTCCAGTAACTGGGTAGAAGGATGCCACTGGTAATAAAGCTGGGCATGACCCCACGTCTTAAACAATTTATTTACCATATTAACTAGGGGTTTAAACTAAAAGCATTTAATTGGGGAAAACTATGTACAATCTTTTTGTTCTTGTATGTAAAAGTGAATGCACCTTTTAAAGTTTTTTGTATGTGTGTGTGTAAAATACAATAAACTGTACAGTTGTTTTTTTATTTTTATTAGTTGTAATATTTAAACCTTTGGTATTCATTGACAAAGTTTAAAAGATAAAACATGAGAATTTCCTTTGGCTTTTAATTATAATTGTATTATACTCTTAGACAAATCAGCAGTTTCACTGTACCATAAAAGGATTGCCTTGCAAAGACTGTAATAAAATGTGACTTTAATATTATATCTGCTGCATGTGTACAATTATTTTGGTGCCAAACTTCAACGCTCCAGTGTTTATTTGTTCCAAGTTTGGATTAAAACTACACTCCAATCATACTCTGGGCACTAGCACAACTTAAGTACACTTGATAATGTTTGAACTCATATTTATGTTGTGCAAAAAACAAGTCACGAGTGCTGAAAACGGACAACAGCTCAATTAGCCTGCAGATCCAAAATACAGGCCAGCTCTCTCTGCACAAGAGATACAGCAACCCCAGACGACCGTTTCAACCTTGTTAGGCATCACCAGTGAGGTATAGTCGATACCCCTCTAGGCACCGTGAGCAAGGGGTCTACGTCTGGATTACCCTTTAAAATTAAGGAGAGCAAAAAACAAGTCACAAGAGAGTGCAAGAAGGGCAAGAATATGGACAATGGACAGCAGCTCAATTAGCCTGCCCTTTGCTGGGTCCCCGCTTAGTTCTCAAGCTGGTTTTTAGCTCATCTTGTGCCATTACAGAGAGAACCAGGTCATGCATATCAGACTGATTCCACCCAAAAGGGCAGAACAGATCCAAAATACTTGTTAGGCATCACCAGTGAGGTATAGCCAATACCCCTCTAGGCACCGTGAGCAAGGGGTCTACGTTTGGATTACCCTTTAAAATTAAGGAGAGCAAAAATCATTTGCAAGAGAATGCAAGAAGATGGACAACAGCTCAATTAGCCTGCCCTTCGCTGGGTCCCCGCTCAGTTCTCAAGCTGGTTTTTAGCTCATCTTGTGCCATTACAGAGAGAACCAGGTAATGCATATCAGACTGATTCCACTCAAAAGGGCAGAAGCGATCCAAAATACAGGCCAGCTCTCTCTGCACGAGAGATACAGCAACCCCAGACAATCGTTTCAACCTTGTTAGCTATCATCAGTGAGCCAATACCTCTCTAGGCATCGTGAGCAAGGGGTCCACGTCTGGATTACCCTTTAAACTTGAGTGCTGAGAACGGACAACAGCTCAATTAGCCTGCCCTTCGGTGGCTAATCTCCTATCTCATGGTGTACACAGTGTTTTTACACAGCAATCACCTACAATCACACAGCATACCGAGCTGAAGACTACCTTCTGGCAGAGATGGCCTCGAAAACCTGCAAAAACTCAATTAGAAAACACTCCAAATGCACTTAACTGCGTCGCCGAAAGTCAGACACGGAGATCAAGATGGCGCCGAGAGGCCGGAATTCCCAGCCTAAAATAATAAAAGGCCTTCGAGTTACACTTCCCCCCAGAGGTAATCAGGGGTATGCTGGCTTTGAAACATAGAAACATAGAATGAGACGGTAGATAAGAACCATTCGGCCCATCTAGTCTGCCCAATTTTCTAAATATTTTCATTAGTCCCTGGCCTTATCTTTTAGTTTTAGGATAGCCTTATGCCTTATCCACTGTGTTAACCTCTACTACTTCAACTGGAAGGATATTACACAAATCTACTGCCCTCTCAGTAAAGTAATACTTCCTGATATTATGTTTAAACCTTTGCCCCTCTAATTTAAGACTATGTCCTCTTGTTGTGGTAGTTGTTCTTCTTTTGAATATAGTCTCCACCTTTACTGTGTTGATTCCCTTTATATATTTAAATGTTTCTATCATATACCCCGTCTCGTCTATCCTCCAAGCTATACATGTTAAGTTTAACCTTTAACCTTTCCTTGTAAGTTTTATCCTGCAATCCATGAACCAGTTTAGTTGCCCTTCTCTGAACTCTCTCTAAAGTTTCAATATCCTTCTGGAGATACGGTCTTCAGTTCTGCGCACAATACTCCAAGTGAGGTCTCACCAGTGTGCTGTACAATGGCATGAGCACTTCCCTCTTTCTACTGCCAATACCTCTCCCTATACAACCAAGCATTCTGCTAGCATTTCCTGCTGCTCTATTACATTGTCTGCCTACCTTTAAGTCATCAGAAATAATCACCCCTAAATCCCTTTCCTCATATGTTGAGGTTAGGACTCTATCAAATATTCTGTACTCTGCCCTTGGGTTTTTACGTCCAAGATGCATTATCTTGCACTTATCCACATTAAATGTCAGTTGCCACAATTCTGACCATTTTTCTAGTTTACCTAAATCATTTGCCATTTGGCTTATCCCTCCTGGAACATCAATTCTGTTACATATCTTAGTATCATCAGCAAAAAGAGATACCTTACCATCAAGACCTTCTGCAATATCACTAATAAAAATATTAAAGAGAATGGGCCCAAATACAGATCCCTGAGGTACCCCACTGGTGACAAGCCCATGCTTTGAATATACTCCATTGACTACAATCCTCTGTTGCCTGTCACTCAGCCATTGCCTTACCCATTCACCAATATTGGAATCCAAACTTAAAGATTACAGTTTATTGATAAGCCTTCTATGTGCAACAGTGTCAAAAGCCTTCTGAAATCTAGGTAAGCAATGTCTACTGCACCACCCTGATCTATTATTTTAGTTACCCAATCAAAAAAAATCAATAAGATTAGTTTGGCATGATCTCCCTGAAGTAAACCCATGTTGTCGCTGATCTTGAAATTCATGTGTTTTTAGATGTTCAATAATCCTATCCTTTAACATGGTTTCCATTAATTTCCCCACTTCTGAAGTAAGGCTTACTGGCCTATAGTTGTCCGACTCCTCCCTACTACCTTTCTTATGAATGGGCACAGGAAGAAGCACTATTAGGCCAAATTGGTGACCTAAGCCCTAATTGTGGAATACATGTGGACTGTCAGTGCTTGGGGGCATGTCTCAGCAAGTGATAGGTGGAGCTAATTAAATATACTCACCCCTCCCCAGAAGATCAGTCAGAACCCAGGGCATATCTATCAGCTACCCAGGATTAAACCTACCCAGGCACCATCATTCATCCACCAACACCTTGGTTGCAGCCATAAAATTGCTCAGAAGTGGAATCCCACCATCATCACTTCTACATTCCATATAGTGCTAGTTACAATTACGTTTAAAGGATCTGAAATAAAAAAAAAACTGATCTTGGCAGTTCACAAGATCCCAAATGAAATGTTCATCTTCTCACATAAAGAGCTAGCTATTTCTTTAAAGGCTGAGCCATCCTTCTCAGGGATTTTAATACAGTAACATCCCGATGCAGCACAGGCCTATCATTTATTTGACAAGATGTTTGACAAAAAAACATTGAATGCACCAACCTCCACATGTAAACCCAAAGATTTAATACCTGGATCAGACGTTATTTGGTAAATCGCCACTCCGTCTGTCCCATTCCTAAAGTAAACTACATCTGTTCTTTGATTCCTATATTTGAAAACAGCAGAGCGGTAATCTGCAGAAATTTCAGTTCAAAGAATTATTTGAAGATAGAAAAGTATTGTGCGGATTCCAGAGATCGCTATTAAAGGATTAAGAGATTGTGGTGCTGTGTTTCTGGGAAAATATTAACTTTATTTAGGCTTTTAAAACAATAATACAAAATTCTGCTTCTTTTACTATTTTCACTGTATTTTCACAACAAGCGGTAGGATAGGATTAACTTTTTTCAAAAATATAAAACATTTTCGGTGAATATTATGACTCTCTAAGTAACATTCAAGCTGTGAAACTACAAGGGAGGGGAGGGGAAGGGTGTTGTTATAGTAAATGTTGAGGATATGTAGAGTCTGAACACGTAACAGGTAAACAAATTGTAGCATTAACCCCTTCAGGACACATGACATGTGTGACATGTCATGATTCCCTTTTATTCCAGAAGTTTGGTCCTTAAGGGGTTAAATTGGCTTTTCTTTAGTCTTGTTCACACCAAACCTTGCTTTTTTTATGATCTTGAAGCAAATGCAAGTTTCCCAGATTGAAAAAATAATCACAGTTTCCTGTTTGTTTAAAGGGACACTCCAGGCACCCAGACCACTTCTGCCCATTGGAGTGTTCTGGGTGCCAACTCTTTTTATAAACTGCAATAATTACCTTGCAGGGTTAAGTCCTCCTTTAGTGGCTGTCTGTCAGACAGCCACTAGAGGGACTTCCGTGTTCTTAAAACACGAAAAGTGTTTTAAACGACACTGGACGTCTTCACACTATGTGAGGATCTCCAGCGTCGCCGGAATCCCCATAGGAAAGCATTGAATTATGCTTTCCTATGGGGAGGTCTAATGTGCGCGCGGGTATTGCCGAGCATGCACATTAGGTCTCCCCCGCTGGCTGACATCGGTGGGGGAGAAGCGTGGGCGGAGCCTGACCCGGGCGCCGAGGGACAACGGTGCTGGATTCAGGTAAGTCAGTTTTAACCCCTTCAGCAACATGGGATGGTGTGGGAGGGAGGGAGCACTGCAGGGTCCCTTTACAGATTTGTTTTCCTGGCACTGGAGAGTCCCTTTAACGTCCTTTTGCAGTGTTAAGAAATCATGTGATGTGTTTAACCCTTTTGTCCTGAAGTGGTTGAACCTACTTTGCACCCCCTCTCATCCCCACTTCTTTCCTAACATTGTCTCTTCCTGTACCCTAAGTTTGCTCTGATTATTTACTAAAGGTACAAATACAAGGTTAATAAGTAAACTCCCAATTGTAGTGAATTGACATTCAGATGACAAACTGTAGGATAAAACTCTGATATATTCACAGCTGGACTATTTTCGCCTGAATTTTGCCATTCAGATTTCAATTTGCTAAAACCCCAACCATGTGAGTTATTCATCGAATATTCTTTTTTTTAGAGTTCAAAGTGAATGGCTAAATAGTAAAACTGAAAGCTTAACTGAATTTTTATATTTTTACTTTTTGATTCCCTTTAGTTATTAACGATGCAGTTTTCTGAGCTTGTTCTGCTGTCCATCACCAGCTGAGTCTCTATTCCACCTCTTCTTACTCGGGGTTAATTACTAAAGTGAGAATTGTTGGTAAAGTGAAGTAACCCTTGTTAGACCCATGACAGAATGATTCCATCATGCAGATATTTACCAGTGGGAACCATTTCCCTGCTGTTCCTGAGGAACCCAAAGATATCACTCAATTCCAATGGGTCCACTCTTTTGGCGGGACTAAAATTAGTGGTCCCGTGTTAATTGATGAGCTGTGTGCAGCTCAATGTGAGCGCTGCTCTCAACCCTTAAAATGAATGTGGCTGAACTTCTGCTCAGTCGTTGTTTGGTAACACCATTACTGGGGATTTTCTCCAAACTGGCAGATCCGTGTGGTCTGAGGAGACCCCAATAGGGTCTCTCTGCAAACCCTGTGCAACGCGATCACTGGCTTCAAAGGGTGAGCAGCTGAGTTTTGTAGCTCG